GGCTCAAAGAGAAAAAAAATAAAAATAAATAAACCACTATTACCCTTCTTTCTACAGGAATAGGGTTCCTTAAGAGCTATGGCTCATTCCAGGCCCTGGACAGGGAAGACGTACAAGGTGAACTGAGAACTAAGAGAATGATTAAAGATAAACGGGGGTCTTTCTTTAAAAAAACAAAAAACAAACAACAAAACAACAAAAAAACCCAAACCAAAGAACAGAAGCACCTGAAGGAGCTCTCTCCCTGGTCAAATTTGGATTAATTTCAACAGCAAAAATGACAGTAATAATTAACAACACAATGCATACTGTTGTTATAACACTTATTGCATTTACAAAGATACTAAAAAGAGAGAAAGGAGAGAGAAAAAATGAAATGAAAGAAAAATGCCTGCTAATATAAGTAAAAGGATGAAATTTAGGGGAAAAAATCACTATTTTTATAATCCCAATATAGTAATAATAATTGATTCAGGCGAAGGCATCATCCAATGGATGCCAAATTACTGGGTGAAATGCTAGAGAATAGATGCATACATGCAATTTCAAAGTACCACATCACACTATCACTTATTGATTACAATGGGAAAAAATGGAACTTTATCATGGCAAGATCTGGTGGTCACCAGCTTAATTAAGTAGCCAAGCACGGCATCACCAACAACTGGGCACCTGCCACATGAGCCCCTGACCAGTGCAGAGGAAGGTACACATGTAGCATTCTGTAGAAATGTGATTCTGGATCTAGTTGTGAGAGATGTTGCACATTCTGGTCTGATTTTATTCAAAAGATCTCAGATGCAAAGGGATATGAAGCTGGGGAGAATAGTCCTATATTGGAAACATAATAGCCAAATGCCAAAACATGAGCCTTGACTAGATCCCACACAAAGCAAAACAAAACAAAATATATATAAAACATGTGTGAGACAACTGGAAGAAATCTGAAGATCAACAGTATGGTGAATATGATGTTATTAAATAATTTTGTTAATTTTCAGTATGGTTGTACAGAAATGCCTTGTTCTGGAAAAATGCCTGCTGTAGGCATTTAAAGGTGAAGAGCCATAATGGCTATAGCCTACATGTAAATGGTTTATAAAAGGAAGATGGGTGTGCAGAAGTGTGCATGTTGTGTATGTGAGAGAGAGAGGAGAGAGAGAAAGGAGAGGAGAGAGACATATCTCTCTCTCTCTTTCTCACATACACACATGCACACTTATATATATACCACACACACACACACAGAGAAAGAGAACACAAGCGAGTGCAGGTATGACCAGTTGATGAATCTAGGTAAGTTGGTACAGAGGAATATATTAGTATGCTTTATAACTTAAAATTTTTAAGATAAAAATAATTAAGGCATTGATAACATGCTTCTTTTCATTAAAAGGAAAAAAAGTAAGCATGTTGCTAGTATCTCTGGCTGTATATAAGTCTGAACTCAGATGCTTATACATGTATTTTTTTAATTATCACCAGTACTGAATACATATGTAATTTTATTTTATTATTTTTTATTTTAGCATATTATGGGGGCAACATATAATTTTTAAAATCTAGATTACTACAATTCCAAGGAAAACCTCCACCTACTTTTCAATTCAGATATTTACCTCCGTTCGATGAACCATTAGCCAGTTTCCATCAGATGTCTGCTTGTGGATCCACGGTATGGGTCTGACTTTCCAAATAGATCCTACAATTTAAAAGAAACAAAAAACTTTTTTCTACTCTAAAACCACATATAATTATACTTTACACATGTCAGCACCACCAGAAGTATAACTCCATGGTGCAGATACACCAACACTAAATACAAATACTATCATCTTTCTCACTAACTATAGAAACTTGCTGATCCACCAGAGAACTATAAAATACTTTTCATAATGCTCACAATCCTGTGTGTTCATACTCTTACTTCTCAAAACATGCATGGTTGTAAAATATAGTGATCAAACAGACTGTCAAATATGTTTTTGGCTTGTTTTCACCAGTAATAGTTTTTATCACATGGCATAGTAGTTTTATATAGATGATATCACAAACATTAGCATACCAACTCGGAGAGGACAGGGCAGTTATCAGTGAGAAAATGGATTTACAGCAGGGTCCCCAACCTATTGGTGAGTTGTATAATTATTCATCATATGTTACAAAGTAATAATAATAGAAATAAAGTGTACAACAAATAACACGGTTGAATTATCCTGAACCATCCCCTCCCCGTCCCGGAAAATTGTCTTCCATGAAAACAGTCCTGGTGCCAAAAAGGTTGGGGTTTGCTGATGTAGAGAACTTACATGATTTTCCCAAAGATCACTTATCCAATTAATAGATGGCTCTGGACCGAGATTTCATAGTTACCCTTCTATGTCAAAAACCCCTCCACCAATGCCATACATTCTTCATACACACAAGAGAACAGACATAGATATATGGAAGCACAATAGAAAATACTTCAGGGCCACAAAATAACATCCTCAGTTTCCTCTGTAATTCACCATAGCACTCCTATATAATGCTCAAGCACAGCGTTTGCCAAAAATGCCCTTATCATCACCTTCAACACACACACATACACACACACTCAGAAAATTCTGTAAGAGCGTATAAATCACTCACAGATGTAAGCTCAAGGGTAAGATTACAGATGATTTTGTTTCATTTTTTTTATCTTCGTTTTGAAATCTATATACTTCTTAGTATATATTCCTTATTATTTTTGAAAATGAAGACATTTGTTAATCCCACAGCAATATACGCAGATACTTCCCAGAGCTGAAGAATTTTTTTAGACCTGAATTAGCCTCAGTATTATTTAAGAACTAAGATAATATTTTCTCCTTACAGCACAAAGTTTAATGTCAAGCAAATAATAACTGGTATGGTCAAAAAATATACACACAGGGTGGACATGGTGGTTCACACCTGTAATCCCAGCATGCTGAGAGGCTGAGGGTGGAGGATTGCTTGAGGCCAGGAGGTGAGACCAGCCTAGGCATGCAACGAGACCCCATCTCTACAAAAAAATTTTTTAAATTAGCTGAGTGTGGTGGTACACTCCTATAGCTCCTAGTACTCAGGAAGATTGCCTGAGCCTGGAGTTTCAGGTTGCTGTGAGCTATGATCATGTTACTGTACTCCATCCTGGCAACAGTGAGTACCCTGTCTCTCTCAAAAAAAAAAAAAGAAAGAAAGAAAAGAAAAAATATTGACGCTTAAATTTGAAAGCAAAGAGGATAACTGGCCTGTAATTAATAACCATAGACTTTTTTTTTTTTTTTTTTTTTTTTTTTTGAGACAGAGTCTCGCTTTGTTGCCAGGCTAGAGTGAGTGCCGTGCGTCAGCCTAGCTCACAGCAACCTCAAACTCCTGGCTCAAGCAATCCTTCTGCCTCAGCCTCCCAAGTAGCTGGGACTACAGGCATTCGCCACCATGCCCGGCTAATTTTTGTATATATTAGTTGGCCAATTAATTTCTTTCTATTATAGTAGAGACGGGGTCTCGCCTCTTGCTCAGGCTGGTTTCGAACTCCTGACCTTGAGCAATCCGCCGCCTCGGCCTCCAGAGAGCTAGGATTACAGGCGTGAGCCACCGCGCCCGGCCAAACCATAGACTTTTGTTGTTTTCCTAAAGATAATACAACTATACTCTTCTATGCCTTTTACAAGTAACATTAACACTTGTATTCAACTCTTCTTTTAACCTAGACAAATTCTTTGATCATATCTAGAAGTTCTTTCATCTAGATGTAAAGGGAAATAGTTCTGCTTAAACACATACACACACACACATACAGAAATGCAAAATTCTAGTAACTAATACCCTACATGATGCCCAGATGATGGAGTTCACAACAGTAATTGTATTATTATTTTCTCGAAAGGGAATCAATGTGATGCGAAACATGACATCTTTATTGAAATCTACATAATCTACCCACCTTATTATCCAGTTTCTGGCTTCCATTTCAAACAAGACCACTCTATTATCCTTTATTTCTTCAGCTGAAATCTGAGTAGATAAGTGCAAGAAAACAAGTTTTAGATTCTAATATATTCATGAAATAGGTACTGATTTATTCTGTTATTAATATATATAAATATATACTTGATATAAATGGATTCTAAAATGTTTAATAAGAAAATGGTGCCATTAAGAAAGATTTACTGTTATTTCTTTTTATGTGTGTGAAATAAATATTTTCCAAAAATATGCCAAGTTAGCATTATGCAACTTCCCTTGTAAACGTGCTTGCCCAAAACTGGATCTCCCCTACTCCAGAGAAAAGTCAAAGCCCTTGAAGACTGAAGCTATCCTGTGCACAAAAACAAACTAAAGCTTTTGAAACACTGAGAAGTCTGAGTAAATAATACCTAGCGAACTCTATAAATTGAAATGTCAGAACAAATGTTTTCACTCAATGTAACTGAAACATATTCTACTTAAAAACAAATATCAGGCTACTATGCCCCAAAGCAATAAAGCTAACTACTGATAACATTCATTGTCCTGCAGAAGTCTACATGCCCAACAGTCTGCATTCTTATGCCTTTGAAATCTAAACCAGAGCAAAATAGCTGTTCAGAGAAATGTATCTGATAATCAAAACAACCCTCAAACATGGTCCCTCAGGGAGCCAGGCTTGTATACTCAGAGATAGCTCAAGTTTGAAAACCATGACTCCAGAAAGTGGTCACCTGGACGAAAACTCTAGAAGATAAGTATTTAAAAGCTTGGCATTATATAATTTGAAACCTAAGATACAGTAAAAGCATATATTCATTTGCCTAGGGCCAGTAATCAGCAATGGAAGTTCTGAGTGGGAGGATGGGCGCAGAGAGAACAGCACAAAAAACACAATATAGAGTTTATAGGTTCAATGGCCATGTCATAATATTATATTTAACATCCATCTGGAAATAAAGTTCATTATGAATGTATCTGTCATGTTGAGAGGACTGTTTCCTGGTAAAGAGCCAAATTATTTAGATTATTGATGCATCCATGGAGGAGGGGCAAGTATCACCAAGATGCACCTGACTTCTAGAGGCAACTTGAAAAATTGAAAAAAGGACTCCCATACTGCATTTTCTCCTTCTTTTTGGCACATTTCTCATTTGTGATCACTAAAAGGCATGGGTGGATGGAATGCAACATTCGAGATCAAATGATAAAGCATGGCTGTAGCATATTTGTCCATATACAGACAATTTTAGTATGTCCTATTATGCTAACGCTTTTGAGGCAAAAGACAAATATTTTACCGTAATGTCCCCTTTTCCTGCAGGTTTGCCATTTTTAAGCACCAGTGGTCGAGTTAGCTTCTTACTGGAAACAATCGTTAAAATTGAAAAGTGACACAAGAGCTATTTCACTTCAACATGAGAATTTTTAAACTGAATAGTTTCGAGAAAAGACTAAATATAAAGTTCACTTTTTCTTTTCTTTCTTTTCTTTTTTTGAGATGGGCTCTCACTCTGTTGCTCAGGCTGGAGTGCAGTGGCATGATCACAGCTCACTGCAGCCATGAACTCCTGGGCTCAAACATCTAGGAAAGAGGAGTCATTTTCCTCAGTGGGTGATGTTTATCACTTAAATTTGTCTTTGACGAATTTTTCAGGGTTGAATTGTTTGGAGGTCATGTATTTCCTAAGTCTCAAGAGCAATATGGAACTAATCAGTTTTCTAAAACTTTGATAAATAGTATCAAAGGAAAAATTAAAGAAGAATTTTTTTGGAAAAAAAATTACACTGTAGCAAAAATTCTATTGAACTTGTGAAATATGAAATATATCAGAACTATATCTGTTTGAAAGTACCTAGGTATTGATTATATTATTAATATATATTAAATTATATTAATTTGAAGCAATATAATACTTTATGAGAGTTAAATATTAAAGTTGTGTGTCGGTAGAAAAATTGAATCCCATTTGTTGAGTGTTCTGAGGCTTACCTTTTACCTCAAGGGGTTTCAGCTCAGTGATTTTAATATGTGATGAGAATCTGGCCCTCTTTTTCCATTACAAGGAAGAAGTTAAACTTTGAAGTACTTGGTAAAGAAAATAGTAGGTAAGGAGATTGTATCTGCCTGGGTAGCCTCCTAGGAAGTTTTTTTCCAATGAGTTTTTAATGTGTGGATGTTTTAAATGTCTAAAGAATCTCTAAATTAAGGAACAGATGTAATGTTTCCATTTCTAGAGATTTTAAGGGAACTTCTCTGGGTATGGTGGCTCACACCTGTAATCCCAGCACTCTGGGAGGCTAAGCCTGGAGGATTGCTTGAGGACAGGAGTTCAAGACTAGCCTGAACAAGACAGTGAGACCCCATCCTAAAATAAAATTAGCTGGGTGTAGTGGTGTGCGCCTGTAGCCCCAGCTACTAGGGAGGCTAAGGCAGGAAGATTGTTTGAGCCCAGGAGTTCATGGCTGCAGTGAGCTGTGATCATGCCACTGCACTCCAGCCTGAGCAACAGAGCGAGAGCCCATCTCAAAAAAAAGAGAAGAAAGAAAAGAAAAAGTGAACTTTATATTCAGTCTTTTCTCGAAACTATTCAGTTTAAAAATTCTCATGTTGAAGTGAAATAGCTCTTGTATCACTTTTCAATTTTAACAGATTGTTTCCAGTAAGAAGCTAACTCGACCACTGGTGCTTAAAAATGGCAAACCTGCAGGAAAAGGGAGCATTACGGTAAAAATATTTGTCTTTTGCCTCAAAAGCGTTAGCATAATAGGACATACTAAAATTGTCTGTATATCGGACAAATATGCTACAGCCATGCTTTATCATTTGATCTCGAATGTTGCATTCCATCCACCCTTGCCTTTTAGTGATCACAAATGAGAAATGTGCCAAAAAAGAAGGAGAAAAATGCAGTATGGCAGTCCTTTCTTTCAATTTTTTCAAGTTGCCTCTAGGAGTCAGGTGCATCTTGGTGATACTTGCCCCTCCTCCATGGATGCATCAATAATCTAAATAATTTGGCTCTCTACCAGGGAAACAGTCCTCTCAACATGACAGATACATTCCATAATGAACTTAATTCCAGATGGATGTTAAATATATATATTATGACATGGCCATTGAACCTATAAACTCTATATTGTGTTTTTTTGTGCTTGTTCTCTGCTGCCCATCCTCCCACTCAGAACTTCCATTGCTGATTACTGGCCCTAGGCAAATGAATATATGCTTTACTGTATCTTAGGTTTCAAATTATATAATGCCAAGCTTTTAAATACCTTATCTTCTAGAGTTTCTGTCCAGGTGACCACTTTCTGGAGTCATGGTTTTCTAACTTGAGCTATCTCTGAGTATACAAGCCTGGCTCCCTGAGGGAGCCATGTTTGAGGGTTGTTTTGATTATCAGATACATTTCTCTGAACAGCTATTTTGCTCTGGTTTAGATTTCCAAAGGCATAAGAATGCAGACTGTTGGGCATGTAGACTTCTGCGGGACAATGAATGTTATCAGTAGTTAGCTTTATTGCTTTGGGGCATAGTAGCCTGATATTTGTTTTTAAGTAGAATATGTTTCAGTTACATTGAGTGAAAACATTGTTCTGACATTTCAATTTATAGAGTTCACTAGGTATTATTTACTCAGACTTCTCAGTGTTTCAAAAGCTTTAGTTTGTATTGTGCACAGGATAGCTTCAGTCTTCCAGGGCTTTGACTTTTCTCTGGAGTAGGGGAGATCCAGTTTGGGCAAGCACGTTTACAAGGGAAGTTGCATAATGCTAACTTGGAATATTTTTGGAAAATATTTATTTCACACACATAAAAGAAATAACAGTAAATCTTTCTTAATGGCACCATTTTCTTATTAAACATTTTAGAATCCATTTATATCAGTATATATTTATATATTATTAGATAACAGAATAAATCAGTACCTATTTCATGAATATATTAGAATCCCTAAAACTTGTTTTCTTGCACTTATCTTATCTACTCAGATTTCAGCTGAAGAAATAAAGGATAATAGAGTGGTCTTGTTTGAAATGGAAGCCAGAAAACTGGATAATAAGGTGGGTAGATTATGTAGATTTCAATAAAGATGTCATGTTTCGCATCACATTGATTCCCTTTCGAGAAAATAATAATACAGTTACTGTTGTGAACTCCATCATCTGGGCATCATGTAGGGTATTAGTTACTAGAATTTTGCATTTCTGTTTGTGTGTGTGTGTATGTGTTTAAGCAGAAACTATTTCCCTTTACATCTAGATGAAAGAACTTCTAGATATGATCAAAGAATTTGTCTAGGTTAAAAGAAGAGTTGAATACAAGTGTTAATGTTACTTGTAAAAGGCATAAGAAAGAGTATAGTTGTATTATCTTTAGGAAAACAACAAAAAGTCTATGGTTTATTAATTACAGGCCAGTTATCCTCTTTGCTTTCAAATTTAAGGGTCAATATTTTTTCTTTTCTTTCTTTCTTTTTTTTTTTTTTTGAGAGAGACAGGGTCTCACTCTGTTGCCCAGGCTGGAATACAGTGATATGATCATAGCTCACAGCAACCTGAAACTCCAGGGCTCAGGCAATCTTCCTGAGTAGCTAGGACTATAGGAGTGTACCACCACACTCAGCTAATTTAAAAAAAACTTTTTTTGTAGAGATGGGGTCTCGTTGCATTGCCTAGGCTGGTCTCGACCTCCTGGCCTCAAGCAATCCTCAGCCTCTCAGAGTGCTGGGATTACAGGTGTGAACCACCATGTCCACCCTGTGTGTATATTTTTGACCATACCAGTTATTATTTGCTTGACATTAAACTTTGTGCTTAAGAGAGAAATAATATTATCTTAGTTCTTAAATTAAGGAGGCTAATTCAGGTCTAAAAAAATTCTTCAGCTCTGGGAAGTATCTGCGTATATTGCTGTGGGATTAACAAATGTCTTCATTTTCAAAAATAATAAGGAATATATACTAAGAAGTATATAGATTTCAAAACGAAGATAAAGAAAAATGAAACAAAATCATCTGTAATCTTACCCTTGAGCTTAACATCTGTGAGTGATTTATACGCTCTTACAGAATTTTCTCTGAGTGTGTGTGTATGTGTGTGTGTTGAGGGTGATGATAAGGGCATTTTTGAGCAAACGCTGTGCTTGAGCATTATATAGGAGTGCTATGGTGAATTACAGAGGAAACTGAGGATGTATTTTGTGCCCTGAAGTATTTCTATTGTGCTTTCCATATATCTATGTCTGTTCTCTTGTGTGTATGAAGAAATGTATGGCATTGGTGGAGGGGTTTTGGACATAGAAGGGTAACTTATGAAATCTCGGTCCAGAGCCATCTATTAATTGGATAAGTGATCTTGGGAAAATCATGTAAGTTCTCTACATCAGCAAACCCCAACCTTTTTGGCACCAGGGACTGTTTTCATGGAAGACAAATTTTCGGGACGGGGAGGGGATGGTTTCAGGATAATTCAACCGTGTTACATTTGTTGTACACTTTATTTCTATTATTATTACTTTGTAACATATGATGAAATAATTATACAACTCACCATAGGTTGGGGACCCCTGCTGTAAATCCATTTTCTCACTGATAACTGCCCTGTCCCTCCGAGTTGGTATGGCTAATGTTTGTGATATCATTTATATAAAACTACTAAGTGCCATGTGAATAAAAACTATTACTGGTGAAAACAAGCCAAAAACATATTTGACAGTCTGTTTGATCACTATATTTTACAACCATCATGTTTTTGAGAAGTAAGAGTATGACACACAGGATTGTGAGCATTTATGAAAAGTATTTTAATAGTTCTCCCTGGTGGACCTCAGCAAGTTTCTAAGTTAGTGAGAAAGATGATAGTATTTGTATTTACTGTTGGTGTATCTGCACCATGGAGTTAGACTTCTGGTGGTGCTGACATGTGTAAAGTGTAATTATATGTGGTTTTAGAGTAGAAAAAAGTTTTTTGTTTCTTTTAAATTGTAGGATCTATTTGGAAAGTCAGACCCATACCTGGAATTCCACAAGCAGACATCTGATGGAAACTGGCTAATGGTTCATCGAACGGAGGTAAATATCTGAATTTGAAAAGTAGGGTGGAGGTTTCCTTTGGAATTGTAGTAATCTAGATTTTTAAAAATTACATATGTACCTCCATAATATGCTAAAATAAAAAAATAATAAAATAAAAATTACATATGTATGTCAGTACCGGTGGATAATTAAAAAAATACATGTATAAGCATCTGAGTTCAGACTTATATACAGCCAGAGATACTAGGCCAACATGCTTACTTTTTTTCCTTTTAATGAAAAGAAAGCATGTTATCATGCTTAATTATTTTTATCTTAAAAAATTTTAAGTTCTATAAAGCATACTAAATATATTCCTCTGTACCACTTACCTAGATTCATCAACTGGTCATACCTGCACTCGCTTGTGTTCTCTTTCTCGAGTGTGTGTGTGTGTATATATAAGTGTGCATGTGTGTATGTGAGAAAGAGAGAGAGAGATATGTCTCTCTCTATCTTTCTCTCTCTCTCTCTCATACACACATGCACACTTCTGCACACCCATCCTTCCTTTTTATAAAACCATCCTAACGTAGGCTATAGCCATTATGGCTCTTCACCTTTAAATGCTACAGCAGGCATTTTTCCAGAACAAGGGCATTCTGTACAACCATACCTGAAAAAATTAACAAAATTTATTTAATAACATCATATTCACCATACTGTTGATCTTCAGATTTCTTCAGTTGTCTCACAGATGTTTTATATATATTTTGTTTTGTTTTGCTTTGTGTGGGATCTAGTCAAGGCTCATGTTTTGCATTTGGCTATTATGTTTCCAATATAGGACTATTCTCCCCAGCTTCATATCCCCTTGCCATTGAATCTTTTGAATAATCAAGACCAGAATGTGCAACATCCTCACAACTAGATCCAGATCAAACATTTCTACCAAGAATGCTACATGTGTACCTTCCTCTGCATGGTCAGGGGGCTCATGGTGGCAGGCTGCCCAGTGTTGGTGATGCCGTGCTTGGCTACTTAATTAAGCTGGTGACCACCAGATCTTGCCATGATAAAGTTCCATTTTTTCCCCATTGTAATCAATAAGTGATATGTGATGTGGTACTTTGAAATTGCATGTATTATCTATTCTCTAGCATTTCACCCAGTAATTTTAGCATCCATTGATGATCCTTGCCTGAATCAATTATTATTACTATATTGGGGATTATAAAAATAGTGATTTTTTTCCCCCTAAATTTTTCATCCCTTTTACTTTATATTAGCAGGCATTTTTCTTTCATTTTTTTCTCTTTCACTTTCTCTCTTTTTTAGTATCTTTGTAAATGCAATAAGTGTTATAACAACAGTATGAATTGTGTTGTAATTTATTACTGTCATTTTTGCTGTTGAAATTAATCCAAATTTGACCAGGGAGAGAGCTCCTTCAAGTGGCTTCTGTTCTTTGGTTTGGGTTTTTTTGTTTGTTTGTTTGTTTGTTTGTTTTTTTAAAGAAAACCCCGTTTATCTTTAATCATTCTCTTAGTTCTCAGTTCACCTTGTACTTTCCCTGTCCCAGGGCTGGAATGAGCCATAGCTCTTAAGGAACCCTATTCCTGTAAGAGGGTAATAGTGTTTATTTATTTTTATTTTATTTTTTCTCTTTGACAGTTTGCTAGCAAAGGGTAGTAATAGTATTTAAACAGCAACATCTTAGTGCTGTGTGTGCTTATTGCTACTGGGATGTCACTGCTTTTAGGCCTTTTTAATGTACATAGCTGGGAAATATGTATATTTGTGTGTATCTGTTTATTAGGTATGTATATAGAGTGTTAAAATTGTAAACCATGAATTTAGACATATTTCTTCAATTTAAATCCAATATAGCAAGGTTCTTTCTTATTCCATATGTGCCATTTTTTGTTTTATATTTGAATCTTCTTTGTCCTACAGTAAAATTCTGGTTTCCAACAAAATCAATAATCTTCCGTAGTTTCTAATTGCACCTTATAATACATGGATATATTTCCCAAGTAGTTTTCTTCTTTTCTGAGAATGTACCACAATAGGCAATTATCACATTTTTCAGATTACAGTTGTATAATATTGTCCTAGCTAGTTTCTTATTGAAATAGTTGAGAAGGTGAAGAAGTGAAGGATGGTAAGAATATAGCAAGAACCTGGGAAGTTCAAGAGCAAAACTTTAATAAACTAGATATTTTTCTAACAGATCTTTGAACCTTCATTTTTATAGGTTATTAAAAACAACTTGAATCCTGTTTGGAGACCTTTTAAAATCTCTCTCAACTCTCTGTGCTATGGAGATATGGACAAAACCATTAAGGTAACTTGAAATTATGTGTGTGTGTGTGTGTGTGTATGTGTGTGTATAAAATACACAAATACTACATGTTAACCTATTTTATAAAGTTAATTATATAAGATACTACTTAAAGAAAGTAAATGATATAACAGATACCCTTAGAGTTAAAGTTTATATATGTATGAGTGTAGGAATACTAAAATAGAAATGTCTTCTGATTAAGTGAAATAGTTTAAGGAGTAAGCATGTTTGACTAATCTGCTGACCTAATGCTTAATCAAACAGTGTAATTTCTATTTTATTTTGTATTATACTTTTAAATATAAAATGTCCAATTTAAATATATGTATATATTTTAATAAGATTGCTTTGCTCTGGCAATAGGCGATACATTTAACTACATTATTTGCCTTTGGTGTGTCCCTTGCAGATAAAAGTATTTGGTTCTTACCCTAAGAACCAAATACTTCCTCCATCCCTTAGCAAGGGAAGAGAATAGTGGTGGCATTTCTGTTCCTTATTTTCAGAGCAAGGTATAATTCACTGAAAGCTTTTAGATGGCTTTAGTTTTAGAGAGTCAGGGAAGTGGGGTGGAAACAGCAAGTAGCAGATGTCTCAGTGGGCTTTGTTAATGTTTTGTTCATACACATTTAGCAACAACTATACATATATACGTATGTGTATTTATATATTTTTGAGACACTTTTATACTAGAGTTATCTTTAAATAATTCCAAATAGAAGCCTTATGCTCAGAGGTCAGCAGACCAATTTTTTTTAAAAAAATTAATTTGGTAAAAGCAGGAAAGGTAATCTTGTGACACAAGTATAGGATTTGGAGTCAGACCACAGTTCAAGTTTTGGCGTAGCCCTTTAACTAACTAAGGGATCTTGGGTAGATCACTTAACTTCTTCACTTTTATAATAGAGATAATAATTTCTACTTTACAAAATAGTAAAGATAAAATTAACAAAAGTAAAAATTTTGTAAATCATTAAATAGGCGCCATTATTATTGAAAACCACTTCATTTCTGAGATCCTTAAACATTGTTCCCAGTTTGTAGAGAACTTTAAAAATCCCATGTAGGTATGATTTGTATGGTATTTTAAACAACATTGAAAAATTTAGGTCCAAAATAAATAGTGGAAAACTAGCTATAAAAATTAGGGGTTTTTTTGAGACAGAATCTCACTTTGTTGCCCGGGCTACATGCCATGGCATCAGCTTAGCTCACAGCAACCTCAAACTCCTGGGCTCAAGCGATCCTTCTGTCTCAGCTGCCCGAGTAGCTGAGACTACAGGCATGCGCCACCGTGCCCGGCTAAATTTTTCTACATATTTTTAGCTGTCCGAGTAATTTCTTTCTATTTTTAGTAGAGACGGGGTCTCACTTTTGCTCAGGCTGGTCTCGAACTCCTGAGCTCAAAGGATCCACCCGCCTCAGCCTCCCAGAGTGCTAGGATTACAGGCGTTAGCCACCGCACCCAGCCAAAAAAAAGTAGTTTTTATTATTATAATACCAAATCCGTAACTTTTGCTTTTCTCATTAAAAACAGTAAGCATCATTACATGTGAGAAGGCAGCAATGTCTAGGGGAAAAAATGCCTAAGCCATAACTATTTGATTGTTTGTAATGATATGTTAACAATGAAACAATGTTTTTTAAACTTTTTTGCTCACAGTGGCATGCTTACAGGGCTATTTTATTATAGTAAGTAAATTGATTTTCTGAGTTTTCCTCTGGTAAATGTCTTTCATTCTTCAAAGTTTCTTGGTTTGTTTTTAACTATACATAACTTGGTTTGACATGTCATTACTGACTTTATTTCACTCAGTTCTATGTTTTTTTTGCAATATCAGAAAGTCATACATTTGTGATTCTGTTACTGTTTGACAATTGCTTACAGGCATCGTAAAGAATAAAGGGCAGAGAATAGAGTCAGAATCCTTGCTAGTTTCTTTGCTATATAATATGTTATTACTCTAGCATGTGTTATTTCCATAAGATCAGGTGAATAAGAGAAATAATTATGCATGTTGCTACCCTGCCTAAAATGGGAATGCCTTAGTGAATGTAGTACTGTGTGGTGTGTGTATTCTTTTACATATATACATATGAACATATGTATATATACATACATTTATTATTTATTATGCATACACAAGGGCTGTCCGGAAAGTATCCAGCCATATACTATGAAAAATAGAGACATTTATTATATTAACCATGGCTGGATACTTTCCAGAGAGCCCTCATTTATTATGCATATGCACAGTATACATTATATGTATATTATGTATATGCATTATGTATCTGTATATGTATAGGTGTATTTTGTATAGCTGTTAAATGTATATGTATACATTTATTATACATTTATATATACATATGCACATGCATACGTTATTATGCATACTGCTATGCATAACAGAATACATAACATTATTGTGCATACTGTTGTTTAAACAACCAGTAATACTAGTCTTTGAATTCTTGAGAAGAGAGAAATTAAATAATATAAATCTTCTTATCTCAAACTGTACCTGGACATATGCCAGTATTATAAATATCATATCTACCTTTAAGGGGACAAAAGGGGCTATTCTATATTTATTATAGTGAATAATCAGAACTTTTAGTTTAAAAGTATTTTTTACATTTCCTAAAGTTTCAGTCAGCCTAAACATATGAACAGTTTTAGCCCTATTTATAAGCTTTGTTTAAATAAAATCTTGGCCTTACCAAGACTTAATCTTGTAGATACAAATTGGTATTCCATGAATGCAAAGTTATTTCCTAAATTATAAAGTTCTGATTTCCATAACTGAAAAATGTCTGTTAAAAAAAAAACATGAACTCATGAAAATATTAAGAAAGTTTGTTTTCCACCTTATCTAAGTTTTATTTCCTCTGGAAAAAATTATTAAAATTATTAACTTTCTTTTCCTTAGATACACTAAAGAGTCAGATAAAAGGCTTTTGGGTTAAGAATTGGATATTGAAAATGTAGGGCAAGAGTCAAACTGTCAGACTTGGTCAGTGACCAAAGTGCCTGCAAAGCATTTCTTTTTTTGTTTTTTCTTTCCTTTCCTTCTTTCCTTCCTCCCTACCTCCCTTCCTTTTTTCCTTCCTTCCTTCCTTTCTTTTTTTTTTTTTGTGAGAGGGTCTCGTGCTGTTGTCCAGGCTGGAGTACAGTGGCATGATCATAGCTCATTGCAACAACCTTCAGCTCCTGGGCTCAAGCAATCCTCCTGCCTCAGTCTCCTGAGCAGCTGGGCCTATAGGCACACACCAGCGTACCTGGCTATTTTTTAAATTGTTTGTGGAGATGGGGTCTCACTCTGTTGCCCAGGCTGATCTTGTATTCCTGGCCTCAAGTGATTCTCCTGCCTTAGCCTCCCAAAGTGCTGGGATTACCACACCTGGCCCAAATAAAATACCTTACTGTTAACTCAAAATTGCAATTCTAGATTTTGGCTATTTTGATTGATTGATTGATTTTTAGTCTTCCTGAAGAAGAATGAAAACACAAGTAAGGAATTTAAGACTTCCAGTTATGGTAAGCACTCAATTCATAGAACCAAGAAGAAAAACAATTACTTCGCCAAGTATATATATAAAATCTTGAGCATTTTAACTTGATGATTAATATCACTTTGTGAAGGATAAAAGCAAGATGAAGCTCTTTTTTGGCTAAGGGTAAATGTAAATTGCTTCTCGGTCACAAGCTTTTATTTTAAAGCACAGGCTATAGAAGGATTCAAGTGTCCTAGCATATCTTCACTTTACCTATGTTGGTTACCACACAAGGCATCTTGTCTTCTAAGACTTTATATTTAATTCCTCCAAGTTTTAGTTCTGCAAAATGGGAATAATAATAACAGAATACTCACCCTCTGTACGTCACAATGCTATTAAGAGAATGTGCACACAGCACATCATGAATGTTTGCAGAAATGAAATAATCTGTTTTGAAATTATAAAGTACTCTAAAAACATTGGTGTTGAATGTACACAGTTATTATGACCAGTTTGCAAGTTCCCTTGAAGACCTCTGCTTGCTAATAATTCATGCCACCTTATTTTTCCCACTGCAAAGATTATTCTAGTATTCTAGTGCATATTTACTTTTTGGTTACTTCTGTCAACCTGGCACAAAACTACATGTAAATTAAATACTCTCACCTCTCTTCTTTCTGCTTTCAGAGAGGGAGCATTGTAAGACTAGAACTCACCCTGTCTTACATGGAAATAGAGTAAATATAACCCTGTATAGATACTTCCTCAGTGGACTGAGTACTCTTGCCTTGGAATTGTCCATTTCATTGTATGAGTTGGGATCCTCAGAATGATGCAAATCTGACTTTATCATATTTAACTTTTAATACAAACCTAGCTTCACCACACTGTAGCTAATGAAATATATTTTCCATAAATCTAAATTATCTAGTATTTGATTATATAATTTTTAGCCACCTAGGATATTGACTTCCTTCCTTTCTCTAGACAATGGATTTTAGCCCTGGCCTAGTGCTAACGAGGTAAAGAAGCGGATGAGAAAGAAGCTATAATTTCATTTTGTCCTTTATCAGCATTTATAGAGGACATAATAGAGGAGCCAGAAACTGCTTAATGTGGAATTTAAGTAGTATTTGTGTTTTTCATTTGCCTGTGATCTATCTTAGAGCCCCATTCTAAAGATAGTTTGGGTTCAAAAGTGTTTCACTATTGTTACTCTAGGAAGTTAATTCCTACTTTTCCAAGTAGGGACTGCATATTAAACATTTTCACTTCTTTTAATTAAAATGGCACTTCTTCATAGGTTACATTTATTGCAGTCAGCACTTTGAAATAAAATTACATTGATGTTTATATATTTTATTATACTTATTTAATAAAGTTTATATATTTTTGTTATACTTAATTTCAGGTAGAGTGTTATGATTATGACAATGATGGGTCACATGATCTCATTGGAACATTTCAAACCACCATGACAAAACTGAAAGATGCCTCCAGAAATTCACCTGTAAGTTACATCTTTGCATTTGCATATTCCTTATAGTTTGGCTATATATTTATTACGGTATTTCATTTTTTTTCCCTTGGCATAGCAAATGGTTTACCGTGTTTTTACTCTGTATCACATAAAGCTCTGAAATATTTAATAATCACATAATCCAGAATTCATATTTGGGATATGAGTTTTATTGAGCAGAACACCATGTAATGGTTACCAATGCCAGGTAAGGACCCCAACTACATAGAGGTCAAAGCAAAGATCATCACAATGTCAGTTACTACAAATAGAAGTCCAAACAGTTTTGTCTACTGTGTCTTGGAATTGGAGTCACCAACACAAACACCATACAATCAAGCACTGGAGGGAGCAATACTTTACTCATTGCAGAAGAAACAGAGTAGGATCAGCTTCAATAGTAGACATTGGTCCCCCATGGACAGCAGGTCCATCTGGCAGCCAACACAAGGCAGTTGGCCTCAGTGTACTCTTCTGGTGCTGCAGTAGAAGGACCCCACCCCTCCCACATGGAGTCTGAAAGCTGGGGGCAGGCCTGAGAACCATTGATACACAGGCTTAAGCAGAACAAAAGAGTACTTATTGAACCTGAAAGTGTGAATGAATGAAGTAACGTAGCCTTTTTTCAGTGAGAATTGTGTTTAGGGCATTTATGTATTTCTAATACTTAATATTTCAGATTATGACCAAAACTCTGGCAAGATCCTGAACCACCAAGGAATTTGTTTAACATAATTCTGTTTTGCATGATTGTATCAAATGTATTTTTCAATGCTTGACTCTTAGAGAATTAGTAATGACTAAGTATATAAGTGGCTTTCTGTTAACTAGAAGAGGTAGCTTATTGGATGCCTCTTATGCTATTATTAGGCAAGACAGTGAGAATTTGAAGGTATAACTTGGAGGTGATTATACCCTAGGTGTGAAATAAAAATTAAATGAAACAATTGAGAATAATACAGAGTATGTAGCTAAATTTTATATGGTTATAGAAGTTTAAGGAGATGAATGAGGATCAGAGAAGACTAGAACAGTGGTGGAAATTACAGAGAAGAACAATGTGAGCCCAAGCCTTAAGGATGGATAGGTGGATAGGAGGTGGAAGGAAGATCATTCTGTTTGGGGGAAGGGACTATAAAGGAGAATGTAGTAGAAATTGGATCTATTTCTAACACATATTCCCAGTGGAAAGAGATGGTCTTTGCTGCGTATTTTACCATAGGATTGGGCTTTCATATATTTGTTTTATGATGTTGGGTTATTTTCCCTCTTTCCTAAAAGCCATATTTTTGTTCTTTGTGTTGATAATAGCTAGGGGTAATATTATATTTCCTTTATTATAAAGGATAAAGATTATTACTTGTAGCATTGCAGGGAAATTACCTACAGAGGTAATGTTTGTTCTTGAGAACTATTTTAAATAATATGTGATTCTTAATTGCCTTAATTGGTAGTGCCTTAATTGGTAGTAATTTAACTGATAAATAATCAGTTATGTATTATGTAATTGTTTATGTATTATGTAATGTATTATGTAATGTATTATGTATTATGTAATTGTTTCTGAGTTGTATTTTGCTACAGACTTATATCAGTAGGTGGTTTGATTCCAAGAGAAAAAAGTCATTTATTTGAATTTGCATTGGCATTTCTATGATTGCTAATAAAAATAAACATTTTGTCACCTTTTTCTACAGATTGAATTTGAATGCATAAATGAAAAAAAGAGGCAGAAGAAAAAAAGCTATAAGAATTCAGGTGTTATCGTTGTGAAACACTGTGAGGTTAGTGGGCCTTGGCTACTTATAATGTAATGAGATTATATTTCAAGTTCTTTGATCAGTATGGTTTATATCAAACAAATACTTGAATTTTAGGCAGTTGAAAATCCCGTGAACATCTGGTCACTTTTAGGAAAAAGAATAGAGTTGGAAATAGTAAAAATATCTTTCAAGTAACTTGCTTCCAAGGTTTGACAATGTATTAGCAAAGGACAAGGAAAATTAAAGTTTTTCATTATCTTAGGAAATATAAAGGCATTGTAGTATTTTCCCAGCCCAGTAGGAAATGGCCTGACCCAGTGTATTTATTCTGATCATAATCTTAAGATGAGATGTTATGAGTGGAGAAGAAAAGCCAGGTTTCTTACAGTATACAAGTGGAGGTTTTTTTTGTTTTGTTTTGTTTTTTTGAAAATCTCAATTACTGTGCTTATTAAAGTTCTCAACATATTAGACTCATTATTAATTTCTTAAAATTTAAAGTGAGTGTATTTCATCTTTGGCCATTAATATTCTAATGTTAACATTCCTATAATCTTGAAGTAATATTATACATTCATGACATCTAAAGGTAGAGATGCCTTAAACTTGAAAGCAAGGATGATTTACACATGTTTTTATCATGTGCTATTCAATTTACAAATTTTTAAAAACATATGCCAAGAGCTTTTTGTTTCTGTTATATAGTAGGAGAGTTGTAATTTTAACAGTTTTTTCTTTATTTTTAGATTACAGTAGAATGCACATTTCTTGACTATATCATGGGAGGATGTCAGCTGAATTTTACTGTAAGTAACACACTGAATTTTTCAGCATAGTTTGTAACATGTTACTTTTTTCTCCATTTTACAGTATTCTTTCTTTTACTGCAGACTGACTTTGTGATGAAATTTATACAATCTGCTTAGCATGGTCTCTTCAAAGACCTCAGACAGATTGTCTAGGTTTATCAAAACTCTCAGCTTTGTTGATGAGATCTCTTCTTCCTGAGAGAAAGCAGATATATACATATAAACTAGTGGTTCTCCTGAAGTAATTTAAGTAATAGAAAGCATCAGTCAAACAAACTTACAAAAAACAGCCTCTAAGTCTAGGTAATTGGTATGTTAATTCATGATTTAAGACATTTAGAAAAATAGGAACAGCAGGTTGTTTCATGTTCAGGCCTTAACTATTTAATTGTCTATGGAAATAGTGGTGGGTATTTGTTAGGAAATGGCAGTAGCAGGCTCCAGAACGAATGTTTGTCTCTCTTCTCCTGAAGTTTTCCTGGACATCAAGCCTTCTCCTTGGTAAGGGCTGCGATTGTTATTTGACAGGTGGGAGTGGACTTCACTGGCTCCAATGGTGACCCAAGGTCTCCAGACTCCCTTCATTACATCAGCCCCAATGGTGTCAATGAGTATTTGACTGCCATCTGGTCTGTGGGACTGGTCATTCAAGATTATGATGCGTGAGTATGACTTTGGAAAAACTAAAATGCTTGTTTTCATAACTCCACAGAAAGGGCAGTTCCTGTCTCATCAGATGGCTAGAACTCTGATATAGGTGGTAGGCTGAGTGTGCTGGGAGGAATGTCTTTCTCCTTAAAATTTCCCTTATTGTCTTCTATTTTTCTCTTTGTGACAACCTTAGTGTTTACCTTTGATCTTGAATCTCTTGCTGTGATTAGCTATATTATGTATAGCTTGCTTATTTAATAGCTGATCTATGTCAGCAAGGCTGTTTTTTCTTTGATCATGTTTCCTTGGGATTTATTCATTAGGCATAAGTTGTATGTGATTGAAGTCCAGATGACATGTTTTGTACTTACCAGTAAAAACTATTTCTTACCTATTTTCTTGGCATTCGTCAAATTATTTTTAATGGTGACTTTTAACAAGTGCTGAAGATAACTTGATCTAATTGCTGTAAAATATTCTGAGTGGATTCTCAGTGATTAAATTTTGAATATATTTAAATAGGTCCTCTTGAAGATTTACTAAACAATAAGAAAAAAATCTATGTTGGTATTTTTTTCTGGATCTATTAGAACACAGGATAAATTTTCACTTGTTCTTGCCTATTAATATTTAATGATAAAAGCCCTTACATATTGATGGAGCTTTTCATTAATCCGTCGCAGCATTTAAAGAGGTGAAATTTTCCAGCGAATGCAAACAAATCTAAAGCAAAGGTGGCAATTCCAATATCAGGCTAGTAAACTTTAAGGCAAAAGTCATTAAATAAATAAAACGTTATAAAACACTTTTTACTATAATCCAAAATAAAAATATAACCATGGACGTGTTTAATAGCAGAGTATTAAGTATTTCAAGTAAAAATAGCTGGAAATAAAATAAAAATTTCAAAGTAGCCCAATTATAATGGGATTCTTATATAAAAAGGAGAAAATTTGTAGGGTTGTTTTCTCAGAGTGCCACCTGGAAATTAATAACAAAAGAATAGCTAAAGAAAATTTATGAAATGGAAATAAAAAAACTCAAGTGGTTCTTAGATCATAGAAGAAATCAAAGTGTAAAAATAGACTATCTAGAAATAAAGGACAATGAGAAGACTATATGTAATACTGTTTCTATAAAGGAAAATTTCTGGCTTTACATGCTTTTATTTTTCAAGAAGAAGAATTAGATATATATATAAATGAACTAGTTTTGCAACAAAATAAAATTAAAATAGGAAGAAAAAATAAAGGAATAATAATAATAGAATTCCATATATGTGTTAGCCATTATGTACCAGGGATAATTTAAAGCATTTTCTATGTGATATTCACCTAATCCTCATATTTCACCGTGAGATGGGTACTTTCATCTGCATTGTACAGATGAGAAAACCAAGGCACAGGGTGGTATATAACTTGTCTAGTGTAACTCAGCTGATAACTGGCAGAGATAGATTGAGCCTGGGCTCCAGAGACATGCTCTAATAGTAATGATTTGAAAAATTTAAAGAAAGTTTAAAGAAAAACCACCAGACTTATAAATTAAATCAAGAGATGATTCTTTGAAAGTTCAGCAAAACTTAGGGAAACTTTGGTAGCACTGACCCAAAAATCTGGATTAAAGGATGATATTTTAGCAAGCTGTAAATTACCAAAGTTGACTCAAAGAGGCAGAAAACCTGAATAGACCAGGAACCATGGAAGGAATAGAACAGGTAGGTACCTGTCAAAGAGCCACTCCTCACAAAGGCACCAAGCCAGGACAATTTCATACGTAAATTCTAACAATCTTGTAAGGAATGAATGCAAATCTAAAAGAAACCAGCTGATAAATATTAGATAGTAGTGAGTTCAGAAAGGTGGTTAGATGCAGCATAAAATTAAACATTAACAATTTCTCACTAACCAGCAATAACCAATTCAAATAATGATAGTGGATAAAAGTTGCAATTCATAATGTAATGAAAAATGAAAATGAATTTAGTAAAAAGTCTAGGATCATTAGTAAAGAAAACTACAAAATTGTACTGAAGGACAGAGAAGGAAACTTGTATTTAAACAAGTGGAAAGGTATACTACAATTTTTAGACAGGCAGATGCCATAATGATGATGTAAAATTTTCTCCCTGAATTAATCAATTTTTATCAAAATTGCAGTGGAACCCTGACAAAATGATTATTAAAATTCTCTAGAAGGAAAAATGAATCAGAATAGCCAAGAAATTTTCTAGTAAAAAAGAAAAAAAAATGAAGGCAAATGTTCTCTAGCAGATATTAAACTTATTTTAAAGTTATCTTAATTAAAAGTATGAGTACATGACCAGTGGAAACAAGCAAGTAGTCCAGAAATAGACACACGTGTATAAGTGAATTTGGGATGTAACAGCTGTCAAACTGGACAAGAATTGAATTTGGATTCATGACTCATACCTATCTGTGTATGTTAGGATACTATTCTGTATAAATTAGAATTTAGAGCCATACTGCTGAAACAGACACCCAAAAACAAAGTAGCTTTGATAAAATAGAGCTTTATTTCTCTTTCATGTTGCATATTTAGTTAGGACTGATAGGGCAGTTCTGCCATTCTTAATTCATAGCTTCCAGCCCTGGGTCCAAAGCAGCTGCTCTGGTTCTTGTCTTCTCTAGCCAGTGGGAAAAGAAGAAAGGGACCTAGGAGCACATGTGCATTCCCTCCCAGGGGCATGATTCAGAAGTGGCTGACCATACACTTCTACTTGCATCTCCTTGACTAGAACCTAGTCCCCTGACCGCATTGTAGAGAGCAGCAGTTTCTGCTTCATATCCTACTCCAAAACACTTTCCAGATGAATTAGAAATTTGATATCAAAAGCAAACTTGACAGCTCTAGGAGAAAATATTTGTGAATTTTTGTATAAGCTTGCATTGAGAGAAAGATCTTTAGGTAAGACAGAGAAGGCAGGAAAGACAGGGAAAGAAGAAATCACAAAAGAGTTTTTAATGTGTTCACATTCATTGATATTTAAAACTCTGAAAAGAAATACACTTTAAACAAAGTTAAAGATGGACTGCAAACTGGGAAAAATATTTCAGACATGGTAAAGGTTCTTTCTTCACTGCAAAAAGAACCATGAAGAATAATTATAAAAAGAGTAGCCCTAATAGAAAAGTTAATATGTTCATTACAGTGTTTTATAATGGCAGAACATTGGCCATCTGACATTGAGGGAAGAATAACCATACAGTGGGATACTCGGCAACCATTCACAGTATTTTATATGTTCGGGTCCACAGTACCTAAATGCTTGAAGCCAAATATTGGCAAATACATTTTGCCACAGAAACTTGAGAGTTTTATGATCTATAGCATTTGTACTGTGTTTCTGTGGCCAAATATATAAATATTCATATTAAGTGGCATGGATAAAGGCTATAAATAACCTCTTCCCTGCTGAAATCAGATTTTGCTGCCAACTGAGTTTGCTGTAAGCAAATGAAAAAACTTATGATTTTAGGGATTTATTTACACATTGTTCAGTAAAGTGATGCACAAGCTTTAAGTAGAAAAAAGTAGGCTATGAAACATGAATATTAACTCCACTTTTATAAAATATATATAGAGAAACATTTTTCTTCCTCAATACACACAAAAATATTTAGAATGTGAGTTGTCAAATGCTAATGTTGAATCTCTCTGGCAGTTATTATAAGTAATCTTTGTTTTATCTTTATACTTTTCTAAGATTCTGATTTTTTTTAAATTAGTTCATATTAATTTTATTATGAGTAAAGATAAAGCTCTTTTTATTTTGAACAAACAATATTTTACTTTTTAAAAAATTTTCTTTTTAGTGATAAGATGTTTCCAGCTTTTGGTTTTGGAGCTCAGATACCTCCTCAGTGGCAGGTAAGAGGAAGTTTCATTTTAAAGCTTTGCCTTCTGGAAAAGCAACACAGGCCTCATCAATCTACTTTCATTTTTGACAGGTATCACATGAATTTCCAATGAATTTTAACTCATCCAATCCCTATTGTAACGGTAAGTTAAAAAAAAAACAACATGAAATCTTTAAATTTAAAACCGGACTAGTCTTTGTTACTTGTTTTATTCTCCTAGTTTAAAACTAGTCAGATTTCATCTCTAGGTTTCATTCTGTTACATATTTAACTTTCTGTTGTATAAGGTAGAAAAGTTGCATTAGGTTGGTGGTTTGGGTGGTAATGATAATTATGGGGGGCAAATCAGTATTATGATGATGGAGGTTATGAGATAAATTCTTCTACCTTCAGAAGTTTAATAGAACAAAGAAATTCTCAGTCATGGGAGTAAATCAATAAAATTATCATATTAAAAGTATGTTCATGTACAAGTTGATTTAAAAATAAACCTTCAATAAAAAGAATAATTCAGCAGACAGATCTTTTGACGCTTTTCTCAGTATCAGTATCTCTGCACAAAGAAAAAAGTACCCAGCATCTAATTACTTGTTGCTCACAAAGTGTTCTGTGCTAGATGGGGTGGATGAAAGGAGCAAAGAATTGAGCACCGATAGCAGCTTTTCCTGCAGAGGGCAGGAGGCACACATTCATCTTTTATTTCACTTTTTTCTTTACACCTCAAATATTCAAGTGCTTCCTCCTTTTTACTACATTGATCAATCAACCTAAAATGTCATCTCTCTCACTAAATTACATAAGACTAAATAGTTTAGAGGAGGAAAGTTAGGTGTGCAGGCAGAGGCATAATTTAAAATTCTAGACAAAAGGCTGATTTTCTGCAAAGGGTCCTTCTAACAATTATAAAATGTATAGCTTTCTAAAGATGTTCTTTCCTTTTCTTTTAAATAATGTTCATAGGGTGGAAGAGCATGAACATTTTTTGGGGGGGGGTAGTTTGCATTAGGGTTTTCTCCTTTTTTCCAAAACACTTTTTCCATACTAATTCAGTGTTCTCTTGAGGCACTTTCAGTGGCTGGTTGTAACTTTTTTTTTTTTTAATTTTTATATAATCTTTTACTTCTTTATTTTTTTTTCACACAGACCCAGTGGGGTTGAGTCCCATGGTTGTAACTTCTTTTATCCCTGGCCATTTGAAACTTGAAATATTATTCTTTTCAAGAAATGTGCTTCATGCTTATGATGAAATTGGAATAATTTCTGGAATTTTTTATAATTAAATATGGATGACATATCATGTGATAATTCATTCTAAAAGTTCATTTACTCTGAATTTTATGAGCCCATCTTTGGGCTGCTCACCATGCACAGCTTTTTTATTTTTGGTTTGTAGTCTGGAAAAAGAATCTGTGTGGTTTTAGACAAAGGAAATACTCTACAGAAAAAAAATACAGAGCCTTATTTTGAGGCAAAGAAATTTAATATCTTTGCCTAATTAATCATTGAACTTAGTTGCCTAGAAATAGCATGTCCTACCTGTTTCTTTAATTCAAAGGAAGGATTTTGACATAATTCAGTTTTAGTTTGAGGAATTGAAGGCTATTGATATTTGTGAATAAATTAAATTAATTGTTTATACCTTCAGCTTGAAAAGCAAGCTAAGATGATAGAGTTGGAAGAAAACATTAATGCTCTGGTAATGGGCTCAATTTTTCTGCAGCATTTGTCATTGCAGTGAGATTCTGCTCCAGCAGATGTTAACATTATTTTTATTACTACTGGGCTAACTCTTAGTTCCATGCACCTTAGCATGTAAAACCACCTCCACATATGAATGAGTCATGTTCTCAAAGGTTGGTTATAGGACTACTTGGTTCTAAGTTCAAAGTAACTAAGAGGAGTTTATTGGAACTGCTAAATTTTAAGAAGGGGGAGTTGATCTTGTGAAGCTTTTAGATCAAGGACAGTCATGCATCAGATTACAATGTTTTGATCAATGATGGAACGTGTTTATGACTGTGGTCCCATAAGATTGTAATAACATGTTTCTATTATACCTTTTCTATGTTTAGATATATTTTGGTACACAAATTTCCATTGTGTTAATTGCCTGTAATATTCAGTACAGTAATGGGCTGTGCAGGTTTGTAGTCTAGGAGCAATAGGCTGGACCTATCAGATAGCTTAGATATGTAGTAGACTGCACCATCTAGGTTTGTGTAACTACACTCTGATGTTCCACACTGCACGATGAGGAAATTGCCTAATGACACATTTCTCAAAATGTGTCCTTGTTGTTAAACAACACATGACTGTGTATGTTTCTCTTCCTTGTTGCCCTGTGTTCTATTGGACATTTTTAAAGCAAAAGACCTGTTTTGGTTTATATTAAAAGTTTTTTTTGTGGCAAATATCTGTGATGACCCCAGCAAGTATTGGGGGGAATTCTTTAGGATTTCTAGTGTATCCTACCTGCATCCTAAACACTCTGACATTAAGGACAAATTCAACAGGTGCATATATGGGATACAAGTTTTCATCGGCAGTGCTTTTACCAACAATGTCAGTCAACTTTCATTAGGTTGTGCGGTTAGGATAAACAATCGCTAAATCTCAGTGGCTTATAATGACAACAATTTATTTCCTGCTCATTTTACATGTGGCTAGATTGTAGCTCTGCTCTGTGTTTCTTCTATTGGGACTGAGGCTGCAGGAGCAGCTCCCACGTGGGATGTGCTGTTCCCATGGCAGAGGGAAAGAGCAAGAGAGCTGGCGCAGACAGGCAGTAGTTCTGAAGACATCTGCTTAGGCAGGGATGTCATGTTCATTCACATGCATTGCTCAAAGCTAGTCAAATGGTCCTGTCCAATTTTCAACCTACCTCCAGCAGGCCCTGGGCAATAGCCCATAAACAAACACATTAGTGTTTCCATGGCAAAATGGATAAGTAACCTGGAAGTGAATATTTGGAACTAATACAGTCTACAATACTATGCTTAGCCTTTAAATTATTGAATAAACACTTACATCAATTAATTAACTAGGATTAATACTAGGTTTATAGCCATCTGTTATGGCTGTTGTGGAACCTCTGGCCATATATGTGATTATTATTTTTTTTTTTTTTGTATTTTATCAGGAACTTTTTCTTATCTTTTATCGTCAGTTGTATGATACAGCACCTTTTTTGTCGTTCTTTTTCCATCAGTCATGTTCCCAAAACACATCAAAATTAAGCACAAATGTAACAGTCCTACTGTAGACGAACAATTTGACTGAGATGAGAATAAATGCCATTTACTGGGGAGGGAGAGTTTATAGGTTTTTACAATGGAGCATAGCTATGGAGTTTTGTAACACATAGCTTAGAGGAACTCCTGAACTTTTGACTATTTAAAACTCTATATGTTGATAGATATCATTAAATTAGCCCATATTGTAAGTAAACACATTGTGCTTGAGAATTTTTAATACTGCTTTTTTTGGTCTAGGAATCCAAGGCATAGTGGATGCGTACCGGGCCTGTCTTCCTCAGATAAAACTCTATGGACCAACTAATTTTTCTCCAATCATAAATCATGTGGCCAGATTTGCTGCTGCAGCCACACAACAGCAAACAGCTTCTGTAAGTGTTCTGTGGCCAGCGTGTGGGAAGAATGTGGGTTGGTACTTGCTCCTGTTGCCATTTTTCTATTTATTTGTCTATTTTGATACAGAAGATCAAGATACCATGGTATCTTGGATACCATGGATAAGATACCATGGTATAGTCATCCTTGGCTTGGGAGTAACATCTATTGTTAAATTAATGATCATTAAGAATAAGACAAAATTGGTCTGCTGTGGTGGCTCACACCTGTAATCCTAGCACTCTGGGACCAGCCTGAACAAGAGCAAGACCCTGCCTCTACAAAAAATAGAGAATTAGATGGGTGTGGTGGCGCATGCCTGTAGCCCCAGCTACTATTGCCTGAGCCCAGGAGTTTGAGGTTGCTGTGAGCCATAAAGATGTTGCTGCACTCTAGCCAGGGTGACAGAGCAAGACTCTGTCTCAAAAAAAACAAAAGAAAAGAAAAGAATAAGACAACAACAAAACAATGCTTACCTTCATGAATCTTTTCTGTCTCTTTTGAATGGATTTTCTGAAGATCCTACCAAAAAAGCTATTAGCTATCTTTTTGAAATAGACTTAACAAATTAAGGCTTGATGGCAGCACATCAGTTGCAATTATAAGATTACTTACTGTACTAAAGAGATTTGAATTAGCTAACCTTACCTGTTGGACTTTGGACATCAAATCTCTCTTATTTTAATTATGTTCAAAAGTAAGGTAAGGGAAACTACCTCATACAGTTGTTGAAAGGGCTAAATATAATAATTCGTATAAAGTGCACAGTGCCTGGGTCAAGAGTGCCTGGGTCAACATTCAGCACATGTTAGCTACTATTATACATTTTATTCCATTCTAGACTTAAGTAGCCCAAAAGATGGAGTCACAACTTTATGTAACATTTTGCTACTATGAAAAGTTTTATCATAGATGACTGAATGTAGAGAAAGAGACCCTTAAAGCATACCCATTTTTTAAAAAGCGTAATTTAGCATGGTAAACAATTCTACTTCTCTATTTGTTCTTTTGAGAATGAAGTTGTTACTTGCTCCCTTGATTGATACTTTGACATATTTAATAGTTCAGTTAAATTAAAGTGTTTATTCCTATGCTTACTGAAAGGTTAATCTTTGACATTTAGATGCCTTGCTTCTGTCTATTTTGCCAACCCTATTTTGTGGTCTGCTGCACTTTTAATGAACCTGTAGCTTTTGTAAGAGTCCATTTCCTTGTCATCAGAGAATTTTAGAATATTTTATGCAGGTGGTATCCAGGGTAGAGACTGCCAAGGAAAATGAACAAGATAGAGACTGAATGACTCATCAAGCTAGAGCTGTCATTAACCATAGCTTTTATTGTTTGGGAGTTTGACTTGCTCATTGGAGATAATTTCTTTTCTTTTGGCAGCAATATTTTGTGCTCTTGATCATTACCGATGGTGTGATCACAGACCTTGATGAAACCAGACAAGCTATAGTTAATGCTGCTAAGCTGCCCATGTCCATCATCATCGTTGGAGTTGGAGGTGCTGACTTTAGTGCCATGGAGTTTCTGGATGGCGATGGTGGAAGTCTTCGTTCCCCTTCGGGAGAGGTGGCCATCAGGGATATTGTCCAGTTTGTGCCTTTCAGGCAGTTCCAGAATGTGAGTAGTATTCTTCCTTATTCATATGGTAAGATGTTTGAACACAGAACTTTGCCTGTCCACAGCCAGGCAAGTTGAGTAGGTGTGGGGTTACAGAATGTGTCAACACTGTCTTTTTTCCATTTGAGAGCTCTGATTGGATTTGGAGTGTTGCTTCTGGGCATATACGGTGTGCTTCTTGCAGTCTATATGATAAATTGTCAAAAATGACATTGTTTTGAATATCTTAAAATATATTTTATCTTTACCTTCATAGCAATAGAAAGAAGCTCTATACAAATATATGCTTAATTTATCAAGCTGGAAGTTAGTTTGATGAAAATTTCTCAGGAAACTGTTGTACATAATTTACTTCAGTGGTAACATCTTGAAAAACTGTGGAACAGAATCATAACCAGGATATTTACATTGATATAATCAAGACACATCACCACAAGGATCCCATGTTGCCCTGTTATAGCCACATCCATTTCCCTTCCACCTCTATCTCTTCCTTAACCCTTGGCAACCACTACTTTGTTCTCCATTTCTGTCATTTTGTCATATCAAGAATGTTACATAAATGGAATCATCCTGTAGTATGTAACCTTTTGGGTCTGGTATTTATTTTTATTCAGCCTAATTCTCCCAAGAGTCAGCAAGTTGTTGCATGTATTCATTTTTATTGTTGAGTACTATTCCATGGGATGGATGTACCCCAGTTTGTGTAACCATTCACCCATTGAAGGACATCTGAGTTGTTTCTCATTTTGTCTATTATAAATACAGCTGCATATAGACATTTATGCATGGGTTTTTATGTAAACAATAAGCTTTTATTTCTCTGGGTTAAATACCCATGAGTATAATTTCTGGATCATATGGTAGTTGCATGTTATTAAAGCAACTGTCAAACTTTTCCAGAGTGGCTATACCATTTAACGTTCCTGCCAGCAATGGGAGGGAGTGAGGGCGTGTGTGTGATTATAAAGCAGCAATGTTAGAGAGCTTTGTGGTGATGAAGTACTTCTGTATTTTGATTGTGGTGGTGGTTACACAGATCTCCCTGTGTAACAAAATTGTATAGAATTTTATACCCACACATACAGTGAAGTGCATGTAAAACTAGCAATCTGAATAAGGTCTGTGAACTGTACCAATGTCTGTTGCCTGGTTTTGATATTGTACTATAGTTACAAAAGCTGTTACCTTTGGAGAAAACAGGGCAAAGAGTACATGGGACCTCTCTGTATTATTTTTTCAACTTCCTGTAAATCTATAATTATTTCACAATAAAAAGTAAAAAAATGTAATACCAAGTGAATGAAAGACCCACATTTAAAAGTTAAAGAACAACAACAAAATATCATCCAACGTTAAAATGCTGGAGTTGAAAAAGGGCTTGGTAAATGTTAGCAGGGATAATATAATAACAGCCATCGTAAGTAACATTGGTTACTTAGCTTATTCCATATTTCGTGGACTGTTCCTCAGAAAAGATACAGGCCTAGGAATTGGGAATTACTGCTTTTTAATGGCTTCTGAAGTATCCCTAGTCTTTTTTCAACAAGCTAATAAAAATTCAGTTGCTGATAAAGTTGTTTTGATTTTGTTTTTCACAAGGCTCCAAAAGAAGCACTTGCTCAGTGTGTGTTGGCGGAAGTTCCCCAGCAGGTGGTGGGCTACTTCAACACCTACAAACTCCTTCCTCCCAAGAACCCAGCTACGAAATAAGAGGAACTGTGACCACTTCAATAGAATTCTTTTGTGCTGTGTGGAGCAATGCTACCTTTTATCCAGAATCGTGTATCTGTCATTTTATGTACTCTTCACCTCTAGCATTTGTGATGTAGATCTAGTTTTCTATGGATTGTATCTGTTTAAAGCATTCTTTTGTACTTTTTTGGGGTGATAGTGCCAAGTCCATCTTTGCTCAATCAATTCAGTGATTACTAGTGATTTACAGTAATTGCAGTGAGGCTATTTTGATTAGAAACTAGTGTAGGAAAAGCTGAGTTTGTCATTGTTGTTTTTTACTTTCATATGATGAAAATGATGTTTTTAAATGTTTGTCCTTAGGAATGAAAAATTGTTGGGATGATGTGATTTGCAGGTTGCTGCACTTGGTTAATAGTGTATGATAAAGCCAATGTCCATACCTAATTATGAGAGCTTCTTAAATTAGATGAGGTTGAATTTGTTACTGGAACTCTGTGTTCACTGCTTTTCCATGGAGTAAAACCTCCCTTTAATTACATCTGATTTTTGCTGTAGTTTAGATTCTACAGTTTATAAAACAGCATGCACTCACATGGGACTTCATGAAAAGTACTAAATGAGCAGGAAAAGCACATACTCAATTTTTTAAATGTACAATCAAGTAAAAAAAAAAAAACCTCATGTAAGTAAGCCATTTTTATTTGCCTTTCTAGATAATTTATTTTCATTGTGGAAAACCGTAAACATAGTCAGATTCGGCCTTTCTTTTCATTGACTGAATGTGACAATCAGGATTCTATAGATGCATAGATGATAGATGTTCCAGATTCTACCTTATTAGATTATTTTAATTGAGATTTGTTAAAATGGTTAGGACCACTTTATCCAGGAAAGCTATGAGGACCAGACATATAAGGTGAAATTCAGAATTCCATTTCTTTCTAACTAATGAAAGATGTTACTTACTAAAAAAAAGTTTTTATATTTTCCTTCTAAGGTCCCATACATTGATTTGTACAGATTTCATTTTTATGTTTTCTACTTTTCTTAAGTGGCATTTTGGTCTGATTTTTAATCTAATGATACAGGTTATCTGTTAATCAAATCACATTTTACGTTTTAGTAATGTGCTATTTCCTAAGTAGAGAATATATCATATTAAGCATAAAACCTGTTGTAACTTAAAAAGAGAAAAAACCAAACAAAACCCTTTTTAAATGCTGCATTAAGATACAGTGTACTTTACATGCTTTTTTTAGAGTAGAATTTTTTTTCCTGACTGTTACCCTTTACAACATATTACTTAGTGAACATTACATTTCCAGAATAGAACATTTTATTGAGGACTTGTGTACTAAATACTATGCATACCCATATATTGGCCACTTATCTTCAGTAATTTAACATTTAAAATTGTGTGTTTATAACATATCCTTAAGTAGATGCACACAGTGCCATGTTGACATGCCTCTCACTTTTATTGAAAACCTGTCCCACAGCGCATGTCTCTTGTTCTCTGCCATGTGAGAAGGAAGTGAGTGAGCTGTCAGCTACTAACAGCTTTGGCTTCTCAGAAATACTCTCATTGCCAAGGTCAGGCTGAGAGGGGACCTGTCTGCTGTCATGTTGCTTAGCCCAGGTGAGTAGTTACCTACCCACCTTCCTGCTTGGCTACCTGGCCTCTGGATTTGTGCTGTTAACTGGAAGGTACCTAACTAGTAGTCTGTTACTCTATAGCAGGTATCCTCAAACTACAGCCCGTGGGCCACTTGTGGGTGTTTTTGCCCATTTGTTTTTTTACTTCAAAATAAGATACATGCAGTGTGCATAGGAATTTGTTCATAGTTTTTTTTAAACTAGAGTCCGGCCCTCCAACAGGCTGAGGGACAGTGAACTGGCCCCCTGTTTAAAAAGTTTGAGGACCCCTGCTCTATAGTATGGCTCATTAGTCAGTTTTGACATTACCAATAAGGAAGAAGAAAACTGATTATTCTTCCAATTATTTGGAGCCACAGTTGTCTCAGATGTCCTTTGTCCTACAAAGTTCTCTTTGTATGCTTGGAAACAGTATAGCAATGTTGTTCTGGTTTTCAGAATTTTCCCTTTTAAGCACAGGACGCTTTTAAAAAAAATGACTTACACATATTCTCAATATATGATAAAACAGAAATGGAGCTTCTCTGTTTAATGCTGGGGCAGGGTCCAGAGCCCCACCTGTTAGGCCTACTCCTCAGTCTCATTCACCAGCTTCTCAGCAGCACCCAAGTCACCTGTACAGGGTACAGGGAACTGCTGGTCATGAACACTCATTGTTTGGCCAAATAATAGTCATCACTGTCAATTTGAGTTGGTCTTCATAATTTTGAATATTCTGATTTTACCAGAATTGTTCCTTGTTGTAAAAAAATTTTTTTAAATTATTAATTCTTGATCAGGATCATCAGTAGATGCTGTTATTCATAAGAACTGTGATTCCAGCAAATTAGGGTAATTAGTACCCTTTTGTAGTTTTGAATAAAAGCATGTATAATTTCTAAATTATCAGTTTGTAAAATTCTTACAAATTTTATGAGACTGACGCGCTACCTACTGCGCTGAGGCACCTAAAATTCTTACAAATTTTAACATTCACCACCATCACATACTGATTTAATATTGTTTTATATTAAAATAGTCCTTTTCCCTATTGTGCCACTATTTATTCAAGTGCCATTTGTTCTTAAAATGCATTTAAAGAAAAATTAGCCAAATTGACTTTTATACTTCATGTACTCAGATATAATGCAAACATATGTTGCAGTGACAGTGCCCTGGATAGACGTAATATTTCTCCTGTATGCCTGTACTGAGAAAATATAACAACTGTCCTAGTCACCTTACCTTATAGTTAGAATTGAAATTTTAAGACCATAAAAATTTAAAGACTGATCAGGGATTTACAAGTGTTCACTTTGGTAGTGCCTTAGGCAGCCTTTCCAAAGTAAATTCAGGACCCCAACTTATGTTATCTTTTGGCATAGTTTGCCTTTTTCATTTCGTAAATTTCCTGGAAAGACACCTTCAGTAAGTCTCTCCTACTCTCTTTATATGTGTAGTTGATAATCATGGAAACGACACAAAAGGAAAGCTAGAAATTTGGTGGAAATTGTGAGAGACTATTTTGTGCTTTTATGGATATTATACTTGATAATATGTGTGTAAGTTACTAATATATGAATTGATGTTGAATATATATTCCATTTGGATTCCTTTTGGATAAAGTTATTTCTTGATGTAACACAGTAGTATCTTGTTTTCATTTTTATTCTTTACATATTATCAAAACAATTGAAAAATTAGAAATAAAGAGAATATAGTGTTTTAGGTGGCCTGTATTCCATATTTTATTGAATTAAACAATTTGGGGGATGTTATTTTATGATATTTATTTATTGAAAAGATATTAAGTGGGTTCAAGATACTTTTCTGGGCACAGTAAAGGGAAGATTCTCAGCTTATAGATAGGGTGGCCCAAGATATATGGGACTCACATTTTATCAATCACATTAAACAGGATGGTATATCCATCTAACTTTAAAAATATATTTTTAAATTGCTCTGTTATGTTGTAGTCATTGGACAGGGCTTTGCAAATGCAGTGGTGACCAAGGCAGCAACAGTTGCGACCTTTGTAGAAATAATGCTAGAGGGACAGAGAAAACATTAAACAAGTCATTACAGAGGCATGAAATCAGAGTGTGATATAACATATGGTAGAGAGACCTAACCCATGTAGGAAGCAAGGAGCACATACCTGAGGATAGGTCATTTAATCCAAGACCTGAAAGTTAGAAGATGAAGAAGGTTAAAAGTATTTCTGAAGGTGTCAGGTCAGCAACAAGTTTGGAGTTGAATGTTTTAGAAGTGGAAAGAGGTTTGAGTTTGTTGGAATGTGAAATGTGAGAGGGGAAGTGGTAAAAGAAGAGCAGGGGGCTGAGGTGAGTGGCTGGTGGGGCTTACATCCTGGGGCTCCCTGCGGTGGGTAAGGGAAATCAAACTTAGACTAAAGGTAACAGGATGCCACTAAATGGATTTAAGCAAAGGAATGACGTGATTATATTTGTGTTTCTGAAAAACTATAGAGGACCTTACATTTTAGGGCAGACAGCTGAGCTCAGAAGCCCACACAGTTCCAAACTTGGGTCTGGCCACTAATGGCTTTGCCTTGGTGACACCCTGGTGGGGTAGCTGGTGGTGCTCACCTTCTGGTGGAGACTCAGCTGTTTGTTCACTTGCTCAGTGTCTAATTCTAGATGTTCCCAAATGCTGTGCTTTTCCTACCTCAAGCCTGCTCCCATATCAAATCATCTGTTAGGCCTTTATCTCATCAATTCCTTAATGGTTTAGAGTCTGGCTCACACTTGGTGATAACAGATCTCCAGGATTGCCAACCCCTTGCTGGTAGGAAGACCATCACCCTTGTCATTTGTCGCCAAGCATTATGTGTTTGGCCAGATTCCCCAGAAAAATCAAAGCAGGTTACATTGTTCTTGGAGAATCACACTTTGGCTTGGCCGTTGAGTCTTTCCTCCCGTAAAAGAATGATCAGTGAGGCAAGTATCATTACAAGCAGAATGTTGACTTCTTATAGCTTGGATAAGGAGGGCTGTATTTCTGGTCTTTTCATCAGTAGACTCACAAAGCGCCAGGTTTTATAGCAGCACCTGGTCTTCTAGGACTGGACTGAGAAGAATTTCAGGAATTGGGGAGCTCTAGAGAGTTCTCAGAGCAAAGACAATAGGAAATAATTTGTCTTTTTCAACCACCCCTTCCATCCAGGAAGAAGCATTCACTTGTTCATTGAACAAATATTGATGGAGTGGCTTCCTCCTGACAATCAGTAGGGGGATTTAAAAAGAGTAAGGAGTAAGGAATTCTTACCAACTTCAAAGCTTATGATCTAATATGGAAAAGGAGATAGTATATGATGCTAAAACAAAACAGGAGTGAGTGAGGTGAGGGAGCCCACTGTGGTTGGAGTTAGCCTGGCCCTTCTCATATCTTCGGGAGTCCATGGTCATGAGGAAAGAGGGGCCCCTGGACACTGCTTCTGGAAAGATGCTCCTCCATCCCATCCTTCTAACATAACATTGCTCTCCACCACTGTCTTATGACTCCAGAACTGTTGCTATCAGTGCTCACGAGAAACCCACATCATTAGCTTCTTCACTCTATCCCCTGTCTGGCTCCTTCGTACAATCCCTACCCTGACTCCACATCCACTTTCCCTCCAATGCCCCAAACCCTTCCACCCTGGGTCATTCATTAGCAAAATCTCTTCCAATGCTGCTTCTAGACAATCTCTTCACCTTTGTATCTCTTCACCTGGCTCTCTTGAAGAACGTTGCTTCCTCTTCAGCCCTCTCAAGTGGAGGTCATTTCTTCTTCCTGATCTACCACTGGGCTTGGAGGTTGAGTAGGTACTCTCCCTGGTCCTCCCTTCTGATTCCAGGTAACTTTCTCCTCCTCTTTAAAACCTCCAACTTTGAAATTCCTATCATTAGAATAGACGACTCTCTGTCCCTCCTTAGAATAATCTTGTTCTCTACCTGAGCCCATAGTCTG